GATAAAAAAATATAAAGTTGAATCATTAGAAAATAATGATTCAGTTATATAACTGTCTTTAAAAGGTTTTATTAAAAAAACGTGGCATTTTGGTTATTTATTATAGTATTGCTAACTTGGAAAAGTATATTAGTTTCTTGCTGCATGTTAAATTGTTCTTGATTTAAATCATTAATATATTCGATATAAATATTTTGTGCGGGTAACAATGTGTGACCTTGTATAGGATTTATTATTCCATTATCGTTATACAATTGCTGATTATTGTTTAAGGATGAACCAGAATCATATTCTTGTTTTGGAATAAATAAAGGTTTTTTGATCATCTTATTCTTTGGTTTGGGACCACGTTTTTTACTCGATTTAAATTCACATTCAAGATTGCGTTTTTTGCAGTTTGAACAGGTAACGACCCCAGAACATTTAATATGTCTCCTTTGACAGTTAATGCATGCATTGGTTGTGTATGTGCGAGACATTTACTAAAAATACTTTTATGCAAATAAAAAATAATGTTTGAAAATTTAAACGTGGCAATACTAATACAGTTTTGATATGTGAAATATTTCCGTTGAAAGTTAAAATAGTGTAACAATTGAAGATTTATAAATAGGAAAAAATGCCAAGTTTCTAAGCATACAATGAATCCATTTTTTTTAGCAAATAATGAGAAAAAAGGTCTTGTTATTATTAATAGGCAGAATCTTCAAAGTGGAAAACCTGATTAAATTTTGTAATCTATGAGGAGAGGAAAGGTACTTATCAACAGAAGTGTCTTTTATAATTAACTTTTTTTTTAATTTTTATTTTATGAGACTGATTATGATATACATTATTATTAAGTTTTTACAAATTTGACAACATTAAGGATTTGATCGACTTGCTACATCGATATATATGCATACCGATATCTATGGTTTACTCGGTTGTAATCATATATTTAAAAAAAGCCACCATTAAATGTAATTATGGATCTCTTGCAGTATAGGAGACATTATTAAGAAAATGTATTACGTATTAATCAATTGATTTAGAGTAGGTGTCACCTTACGCAAGAGATCCATAATTCTAAAATTAGTGTTATGGCAACTTTTTTATGATACGTATCAAAAAAAAACAAACGCCTGGTGACAGGCACCAAGAACATAACTACATACGTACATGTTACCATATATAATATAAACTGGCGCTTTCCTTTTGGATTACTTAGCCTTTTGGCGCGACCTCATGTCAATACGTCAAACACAGATAATTTATACTGTATATAGTAAGTATAAAAATGCTGTAACGGTAAGAATTAGGAATTTGTTTATCTGCAAAAAAAAAAATTAACATCATTATTACGTAATTTTCTTTCATGTAATTTTGTCATGGGAATAATTCCGGTATTATAATAACATGTATGATTAAAGTATAGTATACCACATTCCAATAATTTTTTTATATATAACCTTATTTATAATAATGTGGGACTAGCCATTCACAAAAATTGTCGACCTGTGATCTCCAGGTAGAAAAATTGTAGTAAGTTAGCGATGTCCAAAAAATTAATAAACCCGCTAAACGAAATACTAAGTAAAGTTGCTCGGATCGTAATTTTGCTATAATATTAGTTAACTTGTATTAGGCTTGTATTAGTGCTTCGTAGGTCCGATCCGAGGTCCGAATCTGAATCGTCGGATCGAATTCCGGAAGCTCTGGTTACATGAAATGGTAAAATTTTTTGGGCATCACTAACCTACTGGTTTTTTTCGACCCACCCCTTGTGTTGTGAGCACTAGGAAATCATCAGTGTTTAGGCCAATCGAGCGACACTTTCGATACTTTTGAATTCTGCACTATTGGTCACGATAGCGCGAAAGCGGAAAGAACAGATAACCCATAATTGTTTTTCATATGTAACACCCCCTCGATGAGGGACAAAATATGGAGGTGCGCGTTATTTAGAGACGCGCATGGGCGTTATTTGGAAGTCCCACAGGCTATTTTGGGGCATGATGTTCTAAATAACGCCCATGCCCGTTATTTCGCGAAAATACGGTAATAATTTACTATGATTAGTTAAAGGTTTCACTCTCACGCACTCATTTATTTATAAATTTTTAGCATCAGTAAGCTATTTACAAATGTTTTTAATTATGTTTATAAAAATTAAAAGGTATTATGAAGTAAACGAGCTTGTTTATTGTTTATTTAATTTTATATACAAAAAAATAAAAGAATTTATGAAAATAAACCTTTAAAGCTTTATTTTTGAAGGATTTAGTTCACCAAGTCACTCGTTTCGCAAAAATATGATAATTATATCGATATATTTTGGTAGAATTTGGACTTTCTTGTTATGCGTTTCTGCTCCATAATATAATATATATAGTTTTTTTTAAATACGAGAATCTACTGCGAACAATTTTAATGCACATCTATTTACTTAGTACAAAATTTGGGGGCGCCCACAGCAAAAGCAGGGAATGGGACTATATATTATATAGTCTCATCCCCTGTTTTGCACAACAGTTATCTCAAAAATTTTAAATAAAAGAAAAAAAAAACATTGTTATAGGAATTTTCATTGAAAAATTTAATAGCACTTCATCGTAAAAAGTTAATATGTTACATAATTCCATTCAGTTCTAGTGAGCAATGCTAGATTACTTTATATAAATATCCTACAAAATTATAATATATTCGATATGTCTTATAATTTCTCATGTCAAAAATTATCCTAAAACATTTCGTTATCACAAATATCTAATTTATAATCTTGACACAAATTACACCATTCCGTAGGCGGAATTAATTGTTTGAAATTTGATGGTAATTCAACAATTTGACCCATCATTCCTGTTCTCAAGTGCCACTGTTATTATTGTTATAATCAAACAAGAACATTAAAAAACATTATTCAAAAAAATATATTTATACACGTATGATATGATTGTTACCATTATTGGATTTTCAAAAGCCCAAATTCCAGGATTATTAATTCTAGTTCTAATCAGTGTCCACCTATGTATGTACGTACACAAAAACTTTCACCGTTAATTCGAGCAAATTTGTAATTCTTTTTTTTTTCAAATGAAATTTATATAAAAAAAGGTTTACCCTAAGGCTGGTACAGTCACTGTATCTCGGTTTATAGGGCTAGTCGTATTTGATAATCTTTCACTGTTATAGGGAGTGGATTCATTTCCTCTATCAAGAACCCAAAAACTATGACCATGCTAGTATAATAATATTTGTAATTAATAATAAATGCAAATGTTTTTTTTTTTTAAAAAAATATTTATCAAAAATTGCTTATCTGATATTTACCAGATGGAATACGAGTTCAATCGTATGATTGTCTGCAAGAATAATTTTAAAGTTAAATAGTATTATTAAAAGAAAAATAAATAAATAAATAAATAAAACTAAAAATACTCAACTTTTTAAAAGAAAATCAATAACATTATTCTTTTTAAACACATAGGCGTTCCAATAATGATCAAACTTTTTTAACCTCCCTTCTAAAACTTCTTTAATAGTCGATGTAGTTTTATTTGGTTGATAAACATAGGTCCCTCTAGCCTCTGAACAAATTGATGAATATATAGCACCATCAATTAAACCATCTTGGTTATATACATTAATGTTTTGATTGGCCATATTCATAACGTCATTCGTAGCATTATTCGTAACGTCATTCGTAACATTATTGGTAGCATTATTGGTAACATTATTGGTAACATTATTGATAACATTATTCGTAACGTCATTCGTAACATTATTCGTAACGTTATTCGTAACATTATCGGTAACATTATGGAATCGAGATATAATCATTGTCATTTCATATAAATTAGTAGATGCTGGAATATTTTCTTCAATTAAAGGTTCCAATTCCAGTGAATCCATGTCTTCCAATTTAAAGTATTTCGTTTTACCATATTTTCTATTCTTATAATAACTCCAAGAAAAAGTGGTGGGATACTCAGGATCTTGTGTATCGTATCTCAAAATAGCTATTACATCATTAAGTTTTCCAATTTCCAAAGCGGATGATTGAAATGAAATTTTGTTGATTTCACCTCTAATCAGGAAACTTGATGTGCTTATAAATTTAGGTAATCGAGTTGGAATTATTGAATACCTTTGAGCCACGTGAATTGGAATACGATGATAAGGTTTTGAAAGTTTTGTTAACGTTCCTTCGACTTCTACTATTTGAAGAGTATGACCGTCAATTGAGAAGAAAAATGAAGTCATCGCACTACATTTTAATACATTTAGGAAAAAGAAAGTAAATACAAGATATTCAATGCAAATTGATGTTTTTTAAATGATTTTAATGGTTTACCTGGTATTTATGATTCGAAGTCGATACCTTTTGTTAGGTTCAAAATAAAAGAATTCAATGGATCCAAGATATGAATAACAATTTTTTCTCATCGGATCATTGGATTTATAGTTTTTACAACTAAATACACCTTTTCCGTTTATTATTGTATTTTTCGGAACTGGCTATAATAATTTAAAAGTTTATCGGTTTAATAATTACAAGACTTTATTATTTTCAATTCTAATTACCTCGATCATGGAAGAATTGTTGCTACCAAATTGATAAGAATCCAATAGCTCTGAACCTTTTTTATGATACCAGTCAGACAAAAGAACAAAATTTTCTTTTTGATAATTGAATAATGTTTGATCATTCTGATCTTTTACAATGAATGCACCGTATAAACCATCAATTCGTTGCGTTTCGAAAGATGAATAACTAAAAAAAAATTAGATAAATGCGTTAATTGAAAAAACAAAATCCATTAAGAAACAAATCATTCAAATATACTTACTACCAGTAAGTTCCACTCTTAAGTGCATCAAATGAATAAATAAAGCTGGAACCATTCTCAATTGGACATTGACTAACAAAAGGAACTCCGTCCATGAACGGATTAAAATTTTCGATTCCATGCACGTGTAAACTCGTTGGAACACCTAATAAATTTGTAACATTTATTTTTACTCTATCACCTTTATTTACTATAATAGTTGGACCTGGAAAGTCGTTGTTTACTGTAAGAACCGATCTTATGTATCCATCTGGTGACCTCGTTTCATTTCGGAGAATAAGGTTGAATAATTTTTGATTTTGTGTTGGAATATGTGCTGGTGCCGATGATATCGATGTTACAGATGGTATTAATGATACGGATGGTATCGACGTTGCAGATGGTATAAGAGATTCAATTTCAGGTGTAATATTATATGAAGAATTATCAGTATCGGGTGTAATATTATCTGAAGAATTATCAGTATCGGGCGTAATATTATATGAAGAATTATCAGGCGTAATATTATATGAAGAATTGTCAGTATTTAAAGAAGAGCCTATGTTTTGATTTATATTAATATTTGACGATTCGGATCCTGAGTAGTGATCAGGCCATGGAATCCAAAGCGAATTATTTGAATTTGTCAGTGCAAATAATAATAAAATACTTGATAAACACAATAGAATCGTAAATCCTAAGTAAAGTATTCTGTATTTTCTTGCAATTATGCAAAATAATGATAACATTTTTTTACGTGTTTAATTTTAGTAGAATGTTTGAAAAGAGTTTAATCAATACAGAATACCTAAATGATTAAGATGTTTCCGTGTGGCTGAGCAAAAATTTACTTCGCCATTGTTGATACAAGATTTTCGATTTATTTTGAAAATCCAATGTAGATTTCGATAAATCGTACACACGTACGTACGTACGTACTAGGGTGGTAACTCAACTAGTAAATCAAAACTATGTCAGCAGTATTAGTAATTTTACTATGATCAGATTTTAATC